ACAAATACACTCAGGAGAACTGCCTGGGACTGAGGCCAACTGCCATGAAACAGTCTGCACCTGTACCATTAAAACCTCTTGCCTTCCAAAACAGACTGGCAAGTGGTCTGCTGGGAACGGTCCCTGGGCCGTGGTAACGTGGTAAAACAGGTCCCTGGCCCATGGTAAAACACACCCAAGAGTCACACGGGACAGAGCTAGATGGCCCCATCCAAACTGATGCCATCAACCATGTTAAGTATTCAACAATATGGACAGCTCTGTCCTGGTGCTCAGGGACCCCCCCCCCCCCCATGCTGTTCCATGCACTGGCACGGCTGTAACTAGCGCTTCTGAGCCAGGCAGCATCTCCACAAGGCAGTCTGCTGCGTAAAACGAGCACGTTTATTCTAACACAATACTACACCGCGATATGCCCAAGGTCTCCATTGCCAGGACCGCCCCCCCCCCTTAAATGAAATCATGGAAAGTTTCCTAGCTCTTCTGCTGTCTGCGTCCTTCGCTTGCCTAGGACTGATGGAACGGCACCTGCTGGGTTCGCATTCCCCTGCCTTTTCTACCTAGAGTTGTTTCAGATTTCACCGTTTTGTACTAAGAGCTGTATTTAACAGCTTCTTTGCCTTTCCTCCCCCAGAAAGTGCTCCACGGGGCACACGGGAGGATTTTGTAGCAGTTAAAGCACACCGCGCAAGTCAGAAGATTTAGCTTTGTAGCTCTGCCTTGGGTTTCTTCTCACCAAATTCCTGCGGTTCACATTACAATCTGCTTCGCTAAGATCAGACCAATGCAAATCCATTACCTTCATCGTACTTCCACCTGTGTAATCAAGATGACTGCAATGGAATAACTCAGAGCCACTTGCCTCAAAATGCCTTGCTCTGGATTTCTAGGAGAGTGATGAAGTCAGATGATGGATTCCCATCACTCAGCTCTAACTACTGCACTCAGGAGCTTATCACCAACAGCAGTGTTTGAGATTTTTATATTATTTGAATGTCGAATCTGAGACAAGTTGTCTACCTTGACACATCTGGAATGATGGATATACAGGAAGTGAAAGTCAGCAAAAGAAAAAACACACGAAACCCCAAGGTAAAAATAGGCCTTAAAATAGGTCTCAGCAGCAGTGATTTGTATTCCCGAGTTTCTCATTGATGGATGAAATATGTGACAAGAGACCGACATGTCATATTGAAGGACTACCATCCAGATGACAAAGTGATAAGTGTTGAATCCCTTTAAGCTAGAAACATGTGACATGAAAGCAACCTCTCACCCCAGTAAACCATTCAACTCTTCATTTGATAATTTAAGCGACCCATTCTGAGGACACACATGAATTACGATATTCTTAATACTTTTACCCTTAAGTGGGGTATACTGTCTTTTTTTGTAGGCTGCCTTGTCTCCTATTAACAATTGTATTTTCACACATTTTACAGAACTGCAACAAATAAAGAAAGGATTTTTTTATCTGCTTAACAGATAAGGTAACGGGCTGAAATAATTTCTGATTTGGCTAGGATCACACAAGCAGCTAGTGACAGCCACAAGGAAAACCAACAAACAAGTACATCACAGTCAAAAAATGAACATAATCTCTGCAAAATTAATTTGAGGGACAGAACCACAGGAGAAAATGAAAAGGAGGGAACAACCCCTCTGAATAATAACCATAACCAAACAATAACGGATTTTGCTAAATGTATGTTAAAGATAGCTGCTGCATGGTGCAGTGTCCTAAGCTTCAAACATCTTTTGTTTCTCTGTTTTGCAATGGATTTCTCTATATATTGTTGAACTGTTCCTTCGCAGTTGCCTACTACCAAAGAAATGGTATCATTTCCCTTCCTCCTAAAATTTGTCAAATACTCAGCAATTAACTACTAATTAATTCAGTTTGCATCATCAATATTTAGGTTTTAAACTTATTATACAGAACCTCCCCTGCCTTGTACTTCAATAATGTCTCCCCAGTTCCTCTAAAAAGCTTAATAAATTATTTGAAATGTAAGTTGAAAAGATGCAAATTCAAATAATTTAAGTTAAAAGTTATAACATCTCAAAACTTTAAATGACTTCAAAGTAACAAAGGAGAAAACTAAGGGTTTAGGCAAACTTTGATACTATTAGTAAGCTAACGATTAAAGTGTGAGCCCTTTAATACATGGGCTGTTACAGCTGTCTAAGGGAACGAGTGAAGTTCTGCTGGGAATTGTCACATATATTGAAATCTTCACTAATGCCAGCTATCTCGCTGAAGTCTTATGGTCAGTTAAGGGATATACGCTTGATAAATAGGAGAGAGCATTCCTATAGAAGTAATCCCTGAACACAGCTAACATGACCAAATAAAAGTTTAGGAATAAAAAATTTAAGACTTTAGGTCTGAGAAACCACCTGTGTTCCACTTTCACTATGTGTCACTCGGGATATCAGTCCCAAATACAATGAACTCAGCTGATGCTTTGCCCTTGACATCAGTGGTAGCAGGAATCTGTCTCATTGCTTCAAAATTACATGCCTAACAAGTTCTACAATTGTCTTAGTTTCTCATCTTTGGTGTTTTAGCCCCCAAAACCTTCGCTTTGCTATTCAGAGTAAAGATAGTGAAATTACGGCATTTCCATGGCCTGTAAAGCCAAGAAAATTTGAAAATGAACATTTCTACAACTCATTTTCAGTAACTTAGTGTTAATTTTTCTAGCTTTTTTTGTGTGTTTTTCTTTACAATTTGTCTACAGTTCTTGAAACATACATACTTCTCCTCCCTTCAATTTCTTTCTTCCTCTTGTTTTTCCCTCTTTGCTTTCTAATCAAAGACCAAAGAAAGACCATTTTCTTCTTCCTAAAATGTCAGGTTTTATAGTACAAGTCCACTACTAAAATTATTACCACAGAAAGTTCTCTGTCTCCCATACTTCTGGGCTAAAAGATTTCAGTAGCAGATAAAGTAAGTTTTTTATTCTAAAAAGCCCAAAAAACACATTTCCCAAGATGATACAATTTGTACGGGCAAAGTCTCTCAGACCAAGGATGGTCAAACTCTTTCAAATCTCATTAACAAATAGCCAATATAAACTAATTGGCTTATATGTTCTACTCCCTTTATTTAGGTACTTGACACCACCAGCTCAATCCATTCTTATTGGATTCCGGAACTCAAAATACATTATTTTTCTTCAGCAGCCTTTTTGCCAACCCTATTTACTAAGGCAAAGGCAGTAAGAGGAACATATTTTCCAACAGATTAGGAAAATGAAGGCTTCAAACTGTAACCGCTCTTGCCTGTAGCACAGAGTTTTAAAACCTTAAGGAACATATGCCCCACAGAGTACTTGATGTATTCGATTGGGTAGCTGCTATAAGCAGCTCCAGCAGTACAGGCTCCGTGTAAGAGCTCACACATCGTTACCTATGATCATCAAGATGACAAGAGCTTGCAGTGCCTGGATTTACTACAGTCACTCTCCACTATTGTTCCCGGAGTGACAGAAAGGGACCACTTGATGTAAAACTGTTACTGAATTACTCTGACAGTTGTCTCTCCTTATACTTTCAGAGGATGACAGCTGAACTTCAAAATAGTTAATTAATTTTTTTTTTAACCATTGAGTAATTGGAGAAAAAAGGAAAACAGCTCAATTTAGCAATAGCTATGATGGGACTGAGACAAAGGGAAAAGCAGATCTTCTGGTAAGAGGGAAAAGCAAGTGCTGTGAACAGTTGGTTTGGTGAGAAAGCTGAAATATAAACATTGTGAGAGAGACATACGCAACATGTTTATCAGACTCAAATAGCTGCTAAACAGAACTAAAAATAATAATTGAAACGCAGAGACCCATTGCTTTTCAAAATAAACTTCAGTGCAAATCACTGCCGTTATTAATTGCCATATGTCATTGTTCGAATTCCTCAGACTCTTCTGCTAACCTACACTTTCCAGTGTCAAGCCTGGGACAGGGATGCTTCAGAAAATCATCAGCTTTAGCACCTCATCAACACCAGGCACAAGCAGCTGCCATGCTGGTCACTGGGGTCTAAAGGCTAATGTCACCAGCTGGGTCAAATCCTTCCAAGTGCCCCTCCCAAGGAAACCCAGGTTCTTCTATTGCAGATAAACACGGCAAATTCAGCGTGACTTTGAGCTTTGAACTAGTTGTGAATTCACTGATTATTTTGCCTTCCTTTTACCCAAAGATGAACTAAAACCCTGTTGTCCAATATCTGGAAAGGATTTTTTTCCTTTAAACTCACGTCACATAAAATACTTTAAAACTTTCACTGTTAGGTGGGCGCACAATACAAGGTGATGGAAAAAGTCCTTAACTTCTCAGACCTCAGAAGAGATTAAAAAAATGATTTGAATTAATAGCTGGATGTATGAAAAAGATTACCGTATTCCATTTCCACCTTTTTAAAAAAATTTGTAATATTGTTACTTCAGTTTCGGTGCTGTGCACCTGACACCACTTTGCAAAGAAGAATTAGCTTTCCAGTTTTGCAAGTCAGACTAGAGACCAAAGGAGATGCACCAGGCATGGAGCTGGGAGAAAAACAACTGGGAAAGTAAGGAGGGAGGAAAACGAAGACCTAGGAGAGACCAGTGTTAATGGGAGCGGACAACCTCCTTTTGTCCTTCTGGAGCCCGAGAAGGAGCACAGGGTCGCTGTCATTCCTGACAAGGTGACACGGCAGCAGCTTGTAGGACGGGCTGGAAAGGGCTTCCCTCTCCCTCCCACAGCGATGGGCTGAAGGTGGGAGCTGAATGGGGGATCCCATGGATCATCCTTGCAGCTCCACGATCTTAGGAGAAGTCATCCAGCTAACGAACATAGCACACCTCTGGCAGCGGGGTCACGAAGCCAGAAAAAACCCAGTCGTTCTTGACTCCAACGTGACGCTTACAGGTCGGACAACTACCAGCAAAGTTTCCCGCACTTCACAGGTCGGTATGACGGGTGTCCGGACAACCAATTTTGGGGTGCCTGCAAACCTACCCTGCTCTTGGGGTGCCTCTCTGATGGCCCTTCTAAGGATGGTCAGCTCAGCCTGCCTGCTGCTGTCCGGACAAGGACAGCGCAGGTAGCTGGGCACGCTTCCAGACTCTCCCCAGCACCAGTTATCCCGGGATACTGGGACGCTGCGGCACCAAGCCCCCCACCGAGGTGCCCACAGCCCCGGGCCCCACCGCTGAGGCGGCACAAGGCGCTTTGCAGCTCGAACTCGAAGCCCACGGCCTCTTAGGGCCTTCCTCCCCCTGTGGAGGAGGAGGATGGGGAGCCTTCCCCTGCTCAGCCGGAGGAGAAGATAAACTCCCCGGGGCTTTCCAAGCAGGCCGATTCCCGGCGGCACGGAGCGCTCCCGGTCTCCCCCGGGGATCTGAGGGGACCCCCAGCCCCGGGGTGACAGGGGGAAGGCAGAGCCGGCCCTGAGGGGACGGCTGCCCGGGGCGCGGTCCCGGCTGTCGGCGGGAAGCCCTGCCCCGGACGCGAAGCCGTGACCCTCAGCCCCAGCCCCGCCGCTGCCGCCGGCAACAAGTGCAGCCCCCCCCCGCCCGGGGCCCAGGAGGGAGCTTCGCCGCCACAGCTCGGCCCGGGGAGGAGAAGGTAAGAACCCCCCCGCCGCCGCCGCCACACACACCCCGTTTCCCGCCACTCACCCGCCCGTCTCGGCTCCCGAGTCCACGCAGTCGTCCTCGCCGCCGGGCTGCTTCTCCATGGCGGCGGCGGGTGAGGTGAGGGGGATTGAGGGAGGCGGGGGGGGGAGCCCGGCGCCCGCCCTCCCGCTGCCTCTTTGCCGCTCCGCCGGCTGCGAGAGGCAGCGCCGGCCGCCGCCCGCCCCGGCCCGGAGGCCG